TAAAAACTCCCCAAACCTACACATTCTCCTGTACACCTCTCTTATCACTCCTCCTCATATTGCACACTTATCTCTGCCCTCCAAAATGATAATGTGTATGACGCTTTGCGCCAATAACCCGAAGCTGTGAGCACTAAAATTAGTGAAATACTAAGGAAGTTATTGACAAAAGAGCCGAAGGATCCAGGCATAGCTTCAGCTGATCCTTCGGCTCTCTTCAGCGACCTATGCCATTCGGTTTATTCACTATAGCCTTTACAGCAGCTGAAGGCGGGCGAGGGGCTCAGCTAAGCCGAAGGCATATGCTTCGGCTTGACTGACCTGAATTGACAGCCGAAGTGGGTCCCGCAAATGACAGCTGGGTGGAGCCAGTCATGATCTCACGGCTGGCTCCGCCCAGTTGTAATGACAGATCGGCGTCCCCAAATGACCTGGGGACGCTGATCTGTCATTAAACAATAAACAGCTAGGCGGAGCCGACCGTGATGTCATGACCGGCTCTGCCCAGTTGTTAGTCATTGGCCAGGACCAGCTAGAAGACTTTAGTAGGTGTCGGCCAATAGGAATCAGTTAAGCGGAGCTAGCTGTCAACGCTCGCTCCGACCAATTGTTTTTTTAATTTTTAAATATCTTTATTTTTATTTAATCTTCCTATTCTTTTAACATTTTTAAAATCATTTAGCAATTTATTTTTTTACATTCTTTACTTCACTTATACAATGGTGCTGTGTTGGATAACAACTGCTAATCATGTGAACATACAATATAATAAATAGGTCACAATCTCTCCAACAGCATTCAGTGAATTAATGTGAATGTAAGCTGCAGTGCCAAGTGCACATCTTTGTCACGCAGTGAAACATGCTCCAAAAAAATGTCTCCACCACAGAGTGACGCTCACCTGGCATTCCTTTGTGGTAGGCGGGAAGGTACCTTTACTGCCTCTCAATTGGTCCTCCAATGGCTTCCTTTTTTAGAAACTTGTCCCCACACCAGATCAATGGCAACTTGAAAAGTTCATCAATCACTCCAACTCTGACGCTCATATACAAAACAAATGAACAGCCCATAGTGTACCATTATACAAGACTAAAACAACATTATTAAAAATCATACTCACATAAGTCAGTTAAAATCCACATAAAACAAGCAGCCACAGGATAAATCCTCAGCGTCTCTGACCGTGAAGCTTGAGACTAAACATGTTTACATTTAGCGTGCCACCATAGTGTTTGACCTCTGCCCTCTTACCTGGCTGGTGGGCAATGTATTACATGTACCCGGCTGTTATTATTCCAGTTCTTCTCGGCTGTTATTCCAGTTCTTCTCGCCATCTGGTGGACGGTCCCCTGGGGAGATGGAGGTAGCATTCCTTTCGGGCTGAGGCACCAGAGGGGAGGGGGAGGCTGTGCAGCATACAGAGGAGGCAAGAGAGAAAGATCAGGACAAGAAGGTAATGTCCTGCGCTGACAGTGAACCACTTATGTTTCAGGGTCTGATGAGTAAGCTGCATCCATTCATTGTGAACGGCTGTGGCTTCCTCATCAGACCCTGAGACATGAACGGTCCGAGCATCTGCCACATTTCATAAGCTTTCCAGAGTGTCCTGCTGAGACATCTGAGTAGATAAGCTCACAAACATTGATCACACCTTCACCCACTCACTGTCCGCTCTGTTAACTCTCTGCCTGGGGGCCGCTCCCCTGAAAAATGCCACGCAAGGCAAACGGCTAGTTTGCCTCATGATAGGCACTCCCCTGGAAAGTACTGCTAGTAGAAGCATGAGGTATTTTGCAAAGGCTTTGACAGAGAGGTGGAGAGATGCACCAAAGGGGAGTAAAAGTGGGTCAGGTGATAATTTTTTCCTAAATGGGCAGAACCACTTTAAGTTTGCATACAATTGGTTTAAAAAATCCCTATATGTGTAAAGCTGAGTAACAGGACCTCCTGATTCTGTCAGATTTGACCAGTTGCATTTACACTTATATAATAGTTCTGCTCTAGTGTTACAATGCAAGGTTTAATTTTATGGTTTCTGCTTTAGCTTTTGAAATGTGTTTTATGTTATTTGAATGCAAAATAGATGTCTGAGAGCTGTAAAATATGCCTTATATGAACACACAAGACTTTTAATAGATTTAATAGTTGGCACATTCTGAAATCATACTCAATAAATTCACAAACAGAAGGATGTTATAAATATTTATTAGCTTGACTGGATTACAACCTTTTTGTACATCACATTTGCATAAATTCTCAAGTTACATCTTGTGTACAACCACAAAAACTATGACATGGATTTTTACATTAAATGAAGAAACATTAACAGATTTACAGGCAGATTTCTATACAGTTCATTAATGTTCAACTCATTTGTACAACTGTTTTAAACAAATGATCTTGAAGGGGTTAAAATAGGAAAAAGAATCTAGGATGACAATAATAAAAATACACAAATATGGGCAGACCTCCATCAACGCATGCAACATTCATGTGAAAACATTTATTTCAGGACACTACAGAATTTACGTAATTTAAATATATATTATTTTTTTTTACATTTTTTTCATATATATCTGTTATTTATCAGGCTCTCTGTACAGATTCTCAATGAATGACAACAAACACGCTGTTCAACCATTGCTGGTTCATCATCTGAGCACATCACATTTCAACTTTACATGTACAATTGAACAGAATGCTCACGTTCACATGCTGAATGCCTAATGGAATTAGAATCCCTCAGTCCTTTCATCTATCTACAAAAATGTAGACTTATTTACACAATAACAAAAAGGTACTTGCTCCTAACATCTGTATAGTCAGAATTTGTTAGCTTAGCAAAGCACAGACTAATGATTCTAATAAAGTCTTAAATGGAGGGTATTCATTTTGTCTGGCCGTTTTTACGTAAATTTTGTTCAGAATAACAGCATTCTTTGTGTTAAGTGTAAAATAAAACCTATTTGTATTTATTTCACTGAAAAAAAGACAATCGTATTCAAAAAATACCTGAAACAATGCAACTTAAGCATATCTTAGATGTTAATAAAACATCAGGCACTATCAATGTCTGTTTTGTTATGAATCAAAGTTGCGTCAGTGTGCATGGTAAAATAACATGCAATTCATATTTAAATCGGTATTTTCTTGTCTGCTACTAATTTAAATTTTTTCATTTGTATTCAACATGTGTGCTTAAATAACGTTATATTTCAAGTACTGCAAACAATTAAAAAGAGGGAGATACCATCTCTTTAATCTGCAGCCATGGAATACTTTTGACTCACGCTCAGCATCCAAAATTCGTCACTTCCAAAGTAGGCCACCGAACATAACAATGTATAGAACTATATAAATCCCACTCACTTATATATCACGCACACTGTGCTTTTTTGCTTAAACGCTTCTGTTTCTGCAGATCAAACTGAACTCTAAAATTTGCCTTGCTTTGCATATAAATAAACATATATGTAAATATTTTTTTCTAAATCTTGGCTCTATCTATAAAATGAATATCAAGAGAGGACTAGTTGTCAACAAACATCTGGATCTAATCACTTCTAGGAGAAGCAAAAGCAATAAACACTATTAATGTGTTCAAATATATGTGCAAAAACAAAAATACTGATAGTTGTTTCTTACACAAATTTTTTTTTTGTCATTTTCACTTACAGAAAAAGCATTGATACATCAATGTTGCATAGAATACTTCCATGATAACTCAATAATTTGGTTTAACACGTTGTTGGCACACTTCGGAAGCATATTATACACTGCTTATAAGTCATTGATGCACCAAAACACTGTCACTCACTCTGTTTGACAGATGCATCTGTAGCATTCCATGTGTTTAAGAGGTACTAATCCTAAGGTATGTCCAAGCTAAGGAAACAATGAGTCTACTTACAGATTCTCTATACTATACATGGTCTGAAGAGATGGAATGAAATATTTTATATTTTATGGTGCACCAGAGAACAAATACCATCATATCAGTGGAATGTAGTGAATGAAAAGCAGAGCAATGTTAGCTCTGCTAATTTAGTGTTGATTACAGGGTTCCTTGTAAGAATCTGTATTTGTGCTATCATTCTGAAATGATGTCTCCGTAGCAACCATTCACATGCTTTGCAGTCTTTTACAGTAACTCTCAGCATAAAAGAATTGCAGTTTAAAATGCACTACTGTAGCTCTTTAGACTATTAAATGGAATATCAGAAGCAAGCATGTTCTTTATAATGGAAACAGGGTTGGAAAGGAAAAACAAACACATATTCAATTTATTGTAATTTTATCAGACATTAAGATACCTTTATTTTGATAGAAACCACTTACGAACACACTGTGTAATAGGCAGTATGTACAGTATATTAGAGACTGTAGCAATTATCAGTACATTTTCAACATACCCATCATTCATTCACCTGAGTTACTAATAGAAAATTCTGAACATCATTGCGCTTTCTATGGTTCTCTTAACTAAAGGTGGCATGTAGAACAACACACATGGGCTCCTTTTCCTCATTTATATTACTGAAACCCTCCTCGGTTTTGTGCCACAGCACTGTTTTACACTTTGACAATCACTTTATTTTCTTTTGAGCTATTTAAACCAATAAATCGAAAAATGAAGTATATGACAAATGCTAATATAAGCCCGCAAGAAGTACTGAGCTCATCTGTTTCACCATGTTTGCAAGTTGAATCACAGAATAATAGATAGGCACTGCACATTAACTGTACGCTAACTGTACACGTGGCATAGAGAGAACATTACCTGGAACTTAGAGGAAAGAAATATACTGCTTATTCCTGTACATATGCCAACTCCAAGAAACACCATAAACAGCATTTTATATTATCTATCAATGGGAAACTTCTAAGGTGCAAATTTGTTTAAACATATCGAGTGTTACTTATTTTTTTCTATTACAACCCTTATTTTATATTGCCTTATTTTCAAGCTGCTCTGTCGAATGAAACATAATAGATCTAGTCGAATGAAACATAATAGATCTAGTAAAGCACTTATATACTCTAATCTGAAAACATGACCAATCTTCTAGCTACAAGCCAGTTTTATCCTCAGCCCCTACAAGTTGTTATTTATTATTAGCAGAATCATCTTATTTCCCATCGACTGCAAAATATGTCAACAAAGACTTCGAAGCACGGCTTGAAACATGTGCAAACTTTGCTTTCTAGGCAGTCATTCCATTGAAACTAAAATCATTCCAGATGTGTTGCTCCTAGCAAATTGTATTGTTCAGTGTGTCTGAGCAGAGCTGGCTAAAAGTTTGTGCCAATTTACTATTCTTTTTCGAAGGTCCACTTTGTCCAGCCAAATGTAAGCTTCACCTATAAGAGTTTTCTTCATAAACTTCCCTCCATTTGATGCAAGCAAAATCTATGGAAAATAACATTGAGAATAAGAATAATAGACATTTTTGAAAAGAACATGTACCACAATTGTAGAACATTTACCTAAAATATACATGAAGTGTAACAGGCAATTGTAGAAATATATTCAAAAATATTAAATATATCCTTTTATCCATGTGAAAGTTTTTGGAAATGTAAAATACTACAGTTGATGTGATTATTATGGAGTTAAAGACAATCTCTGTCCAAAATGCATTAAAGACAATATATGTCCAAACTGTATTAGCTTGGTGTACGTGCTGACAAGTATATGTCTGTAAACCTGCAGGCCGTAGGCCATAGTTAGGAGTGCAACCGAGGAGTGAGAGTACACTGCACATGCTCAGTGTTTTAATGAGCCACTGGCTTGTTTCTATTGTGTTGAGGGTGCAGGCTGGACATAGGAGGGTCACTTACCAAGGGTGTTTTGCAGTCAGGCCACGCGGGGCCTGTAGGTATGACAAGTAGCATTATTTTTTAAAGGTGAACAGTGGTTGGTAATCTGCTGGGCATAGTGGTTGGTAATCTATGCCGAGAGATCATCTAATTCTTTAAATTACACGGTAACTCTCAGTGAGAGTAATGCAATATTCTCGCCAAAATTCCCTGCTTTGTCTCCTGATGGTGGATGATACATTGTGGTAACCAGGGAAGCCCATGTGTCATTACGACGAGCGCTTAGGACAGCCGGCAGTGATATGAAAGCCGACTCTTACTAGGTAACCAGCAGACGCTGTTCTGTCATTAAGATGAGAGCTTAGCAGAGTCGGCTTTCATATCACTGCCGGCTGTCCTAAGCGCTCGTCGTAATGACAGCTGGTCCTGGCCAGTAGAAAACAGTTGGGCGGAGCTAGCTGTCACTGCTAGCTTCGCCTAATCATTTTCTATTTTTGTTTTTTCTACTTTTTTAACTGTTTATTTACCAGAGGTACCGGGCAGAATAGCTGAGCTGAATGCCGCTCAGCTGCATTCGGCTATTCACTCACTGCTGTTCGGCATCTATGAGAATAGGCCGAACAGCAGCGAGTAGCCTGCCGGAGTTCCGGCTCAGCCGATCCAGATGTTGGATCGGCTGAGTCGAACTCCTTCTGCACTTCGGGTCGGCCGAACATGCTGAGCATATTTGGCCGACCCGAAGTCACCCGATGTACGGATGATTTCAGCCGATATACAGCTGAAATCAGCCGTACAAGCCTGAAGTGAATAGCCGAACAGTGTTTGGCTCAATTCACTTCGGGTCGGTTGTTTACCCGGCTGCCTACGGCAGCTTTGTGAATAGACCCCAGTATGTTAATGGGGGATATACAGTAACTCAGATTTGCTCCTACTGCCCCTCTATTGAGATGTGTTCCTACTATGAGCATTGTGTGTAAAAAACAAACAAACTGAACACTTTTAAACATCAAAAAAGTTATATTATTTTAGTAGGTACTAATACATTCTAATTGTTAAAACGTTCCTCTTTTGTGGGGATAATTACCTTATTTAAGGCTTTATAGAAATGCTCAATTTATTCCCGTGCATGGTTGAAAGAAGAGACAATGGTATATACTACACAGAGTATATTATTAATTTCCTCCATAATACATAGCCTGTACAACATTTTGGCCAAGAAATAAGATATGTCTAAGACTTAGGGGTCTATTCACTAAACTGCTGTAGGCAGCCGAGTGAATGACCGACCTGAACTGAAGTGAGCCGAACACTGTTCAGCTATTCACTTCAGGCTGGTACGGCTGATTTCAGCCTTACATCGGCTGAAATCAGCCGTACATTGGCTTGCTTCACATGGCTTCGGGTCGGCCGAACATGCTCAGCAATAGTAATGTAGCAATGTATTTCAATGGAGAATTTTTTTTTTGACATCGTTCCGTTTCAAAATAAAGAAAAAAAGAAACAGCAGTGTTTTTCTCCTTGGCGGCCGGGAGCAGGAGACTCCCAGAGCGCCAGGGAGAGTTAGCTGTTTGGAGATCAGTGTCCCTGGTTAGCAGGTAACCAGGGAGGCTGATCTCTCTGCAAGTGGCCGGAGCCAGCCGTAAGATCACGGGTGGCTCCACCCAGATGTCGGCCAGCTTCGGCTTTCAGCACGGCTGAGCCGCTCGGCAACGTTCAGAAGCTGTACGGACTATAGTGAATAGCCCGTACAGCACCCCTTCGGTTCTACTGAACCGAAGGGGTCCTGGGGCCGGAGCTAGCTGAAGGATCGGCCGAAGCTACGGCTAGATCCTTCGGCAGCTTCGTAAATAGACCCCTTAGAGTTTTAGTTACTATTTGCACCATAAAGTTTGTGAATATTCACTTCAATTATCCAATCATATGCAGATGAAATAAGTAAACAGGAATTTGCTTTTTACATGATTGGGTAAATGAAGTGAATCGTCACACAATTTATTGTGTAAACATTCCGATATCCTCAAATCAGCCTCCCCTCCCCCAATTTTACCTATTTTTACACTGAATGTGGATTTATGTTAATAAAATCAGGCAGATTGCAATGTAAGCTTTTACTAATAATTGCACTATAGTGAAAATGAAGAGGAAATGGCTTATATAAGTATTATTGGCTAAAGGGCTGCATAATTAAGGGGAAATAAAAAATATATCAGATGTTTTAACCATCACCCGTCTACTAAAGAAAAGTTCTAATACTGTGTCCACATTGACATTTGTCACAGCAACAGAAAACAAATAGAAAGGGACAGTAAATCTTTACAAAGGGGACAGAGATGATGTACATAGAAGTAAACACCTAAAAGAGGTTCTAAAACTTCCCCATAGTTTTCAAACTGTTAAAAATTTGGGATTTTATACTATAGTTTTAGAATAAAATGGGAAAAAAAACCCAAACAAACAATAAATCGTTGATGTATATCCAAAATCAAAACCTTTTTTTATATTTTGGATAGAATAGGGGAGGGTTAAAACTATTGTAAAAAATTTATTTGCCATCTGTGTCTTATTAGGGAGATTTCCATTCACATCCTGTCCTGTAGACTTAACAGGAAGTGAGAGGATATATTTTCATTGTGGCAGAAATTCCCACCGGGAGATTTTCCCTCTATTCCTGTTCTGGTGGCAACTTAAAATTTTGGGTATGCCCTCATTTTAACCCCTGGTGATTAGGACAATTCGAGAGAGTGAATCTCCCTTATGGGGGCACAGCCAGCAAAAAAAAACTGGCAAGCCACCAGAGGACCATTGAATGCACTTTACAACCATGGGGAAAGCCAAGCAGTGTACAGCGTGAACATGCTGTATCTGAGGTCTAATTTTTGTTGCTCTAGCTAAGATGGATTTGGAGAACACAAACTGTATTTTTTTATACTAGCACAGCTGTGATTTAATTTCATTTACTGATTTCACCATTTTTACCTCATACGTTAGACCATATACTATGCATCCCTATCAATGTATACCACTCTTCAATGAAAACCTTTAGCAATGATGAGCAAATCATCACAGATTACATCAGTTGAAACTGTCCCTGTGATACATTTTCTAGGTGGCTTATTTGCAGATCCTCTGGAGCTAAAGCAAGATCCTTTGGGCCCATTACCAGTTCACATCTGCAGCAAGTATATGGACTAAAATGAAGTTGCCTAATTTTTAAAGAAGGACATGTGGGCAGCCTTATAGGAATGCCAACTAACTGAAACATAATTGTCCTTATTTGCATTGTACTCATTTTGAACAGGATGGAGGGTAAGTTATGTTTTGGGCAAGATAAAACCATTCTAGTGTATACTGAAAAAAAAATCTGCCATTTTGTCTTATAGAAAAACATGTTTTGAGCCTAAGGTCTTATAATATGGCAACTATGAGAAATGTAAAATTTCAGCAATGAAGTAGCATAAACGCTAAGAAGCAACAGGCACAGTTATGTCTAACTTTGACAAATTCAAAATGTAATTGTAAAAGAAAATAATTATTATATATAATGTGCACATAATTTATTTTTAGTTACATTACACTATAGACAGGAAAAATGTATAGGCTTACCTGTACCGAGTGTCCAGCAGGACTCATACTAAAACGAAATGTCTCATTGAATGAAGGTTCTCGATCATGCCTACAGACCCTAGTTTTCTTCTTTATTATTCGTTTTTGAGTTGCTACATTAATGACGTACAGTTTCACATACAGATCTGAAAAAATATTATGCAGATTAAAGGAATTAATACACCTTCTCATTTGCTGCTGACTGTAACTTTTTAAAAGCACTGTATAGTTTTTACAGGGAGTTTCTGATTATACTGTGTAGCTGTACAAAAATGGCACTTTAATACACATGTTAAATTATGTTAATAAACATAAAGATAGGGGGGACCAATGCTATCCTAATCAGCTGTGTCTCGTCCATCCAGCAATTAAATGTTTATAAAGTTATGGAACTTAATCAGATTGAGACCTTACACACAAGTAATAGTCACTTGGGACTAGTGACCATTAACTAGTTAGCTGTTTATGTTCTCAGTGGACAGGTCCAGAATGCTCTTAAAACAAGGCTAGCCAAACAGCTATATAAAGACAAAACCATATTTGTGATTTTGCTTAGCCACTTTTGTGAATCATGCAACTTGCCACACTGCATTGCCAGAAGCATGACGCCACTTTCTCTGTGAAGATTAAGGTATACAAGGGTATCCGGTGCCTGCTCTAGCCTGCTGACTGGACAATGAAAGGGCATGAGTATTCTGAGATCATTTCTGTGACCACCCATTGCCAGCATGTACCCTGGGCATGAGAACCTGACAATGACATGACTGGCTTACAGTACTGTTCCTCCCTCTGTCAGATTGTGCAGTGCAATACAACAGACTATTATATAGCCAAGTTTGGGTAACAGCTGGATTAAAAAAAACACAATGTATTTCAATGAACATATGACCACATTGACTGTTTTTAATGTCTGTCTTGAATTCAAGAGGCAAAAGACAGAAGGGGCTTAAAAATATATAAAGTACAATATCTTCTGAGAACACTGAACCAATAAGACCAGCCAAGCATATTGTACAATCTTACAAGATTCAGACAAACCAAATCAGACATATTACTATATTAATAGTTATCTCATAAATAAGTATGTTTCTAGGTTGTGGCAGAAAAGAAGAGTTCCTTTAGGAAGCCTGTAAAAAGGCAAACATCTGAAATGAAATTTGGACACTGCTGGTTTGTTTTTAAAGGCTCAGTCTCTAAAGTACACGTATAGATTTTCTGCAGATTTTTTATGGTCAGATGAAAAAGGTGCAACAGATTCCTCCATCTACGCTAAACTATGTTACATAGTATTTGAGGTTGAATAAAGACATTAGTCCATCAAGTCCAACCTATTAGGATCTCATTCTAGGAGTACCTGTACCCCTGTATATTACGGTCCCTTAAGAAATCGTCCAAAAGTTTCTTGAACAATTCCACATTCTTTGCTGAAATCAC